GAGAAAAGCCCACGCGCAGCAATAAAGACCCAGTGCAGCCAAAAATAAAATAAATAGGCACAGATAACACTTATTGAGTGTCCACTATATGCTGAAAAGCATTTAGGTTGACATGCTCTAGCTAGACTGGTGCACATACGTTGCTACTGCTTTTAAGAAACGCATAAACTGAACAGAGCAATCCCCAAATGGACCTTTCCATTTGCATCCTCCACAGGACTCAGAGGAGTGCCTTGTGTACCTAATTTAAAGGCATACAAATTTCTATGTCATGTATTAAAAGACACTGTACCTACATTCTTCCTCATTTTTAAAGGCATTCTTTACCCTTGAGGGACTTTTATATTTTTACAATACAGCAGTTTATCAAAGATCATCATAGTGCCATAAACTACACTCTTTGGGGTTATGTTCCATCATTCACTCTGCAGCCCTGACCCTACCACTTTTTATTTGACTGAACACCTCTCATGACTCTTCTTACCCACTAAAAATAACAAGCCAAAGTACCAACTTCACAGGTATTCAAATCCCTCTCTGCTCTCGTCCAAGTATGTCATAATAGAGTGGCTTCCTTGTGACTGAACTTCATCTCCTTAGGCCAAGTGAAGACCTGGGGAGGAAATGCCAACCAAGAACATACACCAGAAGAGAATATTTCACAATATAAAAGATTGTGTAAAAGAAAAAACAGGCTCAGAAGATAAGTCCAGTGTTTACATACAGTCCCAGACTGGCAAGTGAGCAGCCCCATAAAAGGAAAGCCTTCTCTTAGCCCAGGTCCCCAGGAGGCTGGCCTCAGTCCTTCCACACCTTTTCTCACTACCTGGTCTAGGTTGCATTAGTTCATCATCATTAATGAAGCAGTTCAGCTGAATTAATGAGGCAGTCACACAGAAGTGGGCGCTGCACAAAATCTGGAGAGACTCTCATATCTAAGGTCTAAAAATCAACCCTGAAAAGTAGATACAATACTCTTCAGATTTGCTTTCAGCTTCTGAGGACTGGAGTCTTTAGGATGCAAAAAGCTCCAGAAGAGAGAAACTGAAAGCTAGGTTAAGCCTGGAAACACAGGGAGGATTCCGGTACCCGCAAGGGTTGAAAAGCCAGAGTTGAAGTCGTCCCTCCGGCGGCAGGGGCCTGACCTTTGCCCCCTACACCTCTCCCAGTTCCCTCCCACAGCAATCTCTCCCTCGTCTCGTTCCTGCCCCTGCGGCCTTAACCCACCCCGGCTCATTCAGTTTAAGGGCCCTCCTCCTCTTATTCCCTCTCGCTATGTCAGGGCGGCCTTCACGACACTGGAACTCTAAGAAGAGACTTCGCTGACCTGTCAGCGGATCCAAAATGGCGGGGCCTAGTCCCAGGACCGGCAGCCGCTGCTCATGTCCAGCCCGGGCCCCGAAGGCGTCTCCGAGCGGCTCTCCCGGCTCTGGTGGCAGATGGGAGCAGGGAAGAAGCCCGTTTCTGGGAGTTGAGGCCGAAGTCAAGGCCCGCAGAGTCGGTCAGGAAGAGTCGGCCAGAACGGGCGGCGGAGCCGGCTACCTTCCCTGTCAGCTCACTGACGTGGTAACTAGCCTCAGTCTAGCCCGCTGCCTGGTCACTGCGCGAGCCCTGCCGCGCACAGCCAATCATAGGTTTGCATCGTGAAAAGTGGCATTCCAGCAATCCAATTGAAGAAAGGAAATTGGCTTCGGGAGGCGGGTAGTGCCTAAAGAGGCGAGATTACAAGAGAAAGAAAAGGGTAGGCAGGGAATAACCAACGGATATGAGGACTCTCTGAGTGACAGTACTGAGAAACCAATAAAAAAGGAGAAAGCGCGCTGGGCAGTTGGAGAGGTGGAGTTAGGTAGAGTTCGGTTGCAGTGCACGGCTTGGCAGTGTCTGCTGGGCATTATGGGGAAGAAAGCTACGACTTGCTGGAAAGGGGGCGGAGTCCCTTTTGAGAGCCTGAGTGGACGACCCTACTACCCCTAAGCGCAAGCCCGCCGCCACTCCCTATTAAAGTCACCTGGGCCAATACCGTGACCCTTGAGGGATCATTTCCTTTCTAGGCAGTTCTGAGCTCTTTCCAGGATGGAGGGAGCAATCTATTCCAACCTCCCTTCCCCCACCGTCGCGTCTGCTTGCCCTGTTTGGCTTCTCATAAATGAGTCTGTCCCATCCCAACTTTGTTTCTATGTCTTGTGCCCCATTCCTCTCATCCTGAAATAGAGACAATGGGAGGTGACAGAAAGCTTGGATATCTAATCCAGGTCCTTTCATTTTACAGAGCAGGAAATTGAATCCCAGAATGGAAAGATGGCCCCCACCATTTGTATAGCTAATTAATGACAGAGCAGAGAAACAAACCTAGGTGTCCTCACCCCCAGTCCAGCTCTCTTTTTCACTGCCCATCGATACCTCTTATGCCTTAGTTTATCAGACTGTGACTCCCAGCTCTGACCATCACCCTAAGCCTTGGACACTCTTTACCTACCTAGAAAAAAGCTAATCACACAGGTTAGTCCACATCACCAGTGACAGGAAACTGCAGCCTTTCCTGAAGCCTTAGAAATGCTGAGAGGCCTGAGGCCAAGATACCCACCGCAGTCTTCACTCTCCTGCCCCCAGTTGCCTCTCCCCTGGCAAAAGATGATAGAGGTTGCTAGGATATTTAGAATTACCTAGAAGTGAGAGTGTGTAGAAAGAGGACAGAAGGATGAGTTTTCTCCTTGCAGATTGAATGGTGGAATTCCCAGCCCATCTGCTGGAATAAATCCCAGTGTCCCTGCAGACCTGAAGAGACTGCTAGGAGACAATGAAAAAAGATACCAACTCTCTCCCCATTTCCTCCCATTTATGGATGACTCAAGTCCAGGGAAGCTCCATTCCTAACCCTGTAGGACTGTGGTCTCAAAACCAGACATCCAAAGACCATCCTCGTGCTCGAATCCTCTAATACCAAGAAACCATCAGGCCTGACATCAGAATTGAAGAACTCCTTAACAGCTTCCTGTACCTGCATGTTGGGCTCCTGATCTCTGGGTCCAGCTGAGGATCTTGCCTCTTTCACCCAATGAGAGTCAGGGGCAGAGGATACAACCACCATAGCACATCTTTCTACCCCACCTCTGAGCCATTTTCCACCTTCATTTGAAAACTGGGATTTGGTCTCCTGGGCTTATCTCAGATTGAGAGGTCCTGCATAACCAACTGAAAAATCTTCTAAGTGGGACAAAACTCCCTACTACCCTATCTCCACTCCTACATACCTCCAGAAATCAATCAACCTAAATGGAATTGTGTGTTAGAGATAAGGAGGAGAGAGATGACAATGTCCCAGCCCCTTCTAACCTCCATCATCTTACCAGACAAAACATCTCCCTCTCAGATTTTAGTACTGAGTGTCTACATCATGCCTAGGAATAGAAAGATGAGGAAGACATGGTCCTTGCCCTCCTAAATCTTAGCATCATAGGGGACAACACATAAGCTGATCTCTTCCATATCATGGGTGGGGCAATAGAGGTACACACAGCAGGGCTGGGGGAGCAAGAGACTGCACATCTGGCTAACGTGGGAATTCAGGAAAGGCTTCCCAGAGAGAATGAGGCCTGAGTGGAGCTTAGGGGGATGAGTAGGAGTTGACAAAATGAAGACTGGTTAGAAATATGTTACTGTCAGAGGTGTGCAGAAAACCACTAGGAGACTGGAGATTAAGACAGGGTCAGGTCCTGAAAGTCTGCTGTGCCATGCAAGGGAGCTTAGCCTTTATCCTGAGGGCAAACAGGAGCCACTGAAGGGTTTTAAGCAAAGACATGACTGGTCAGATTCACCTTAGGAGTATATTATATAATAGGGCTTAGGGCCCTCAGGGACACCCTAGAAACCCAGCCTGACTCCACATGTTGCTTGGGACATCTGTCCTATCCCTTGCAACTCCCTAACCTGCAAGCACCAAGGCCACACCTTGCCCACAGAACTGAATTTGGTATCACCAAGGAGCAGGTAGCCCTGGTAAGCCTGGGAGAACATAGCTTGTGTGAGACAAGAGTGCAGACTGACAGGGAACTTGCCCAGGCCTCTGAGGAGTGCCCAGCCCAAGCCCTGAGAACCAAGAACCTCTTTTAATTTTGTGGGGGGAGGGGGAGTAAGGGAGTCATAGTTAAGTTACTTGTCCAAGGTCACTCAGTGATGTTGCAGCAGGTGGCAGGGTTAGAATACTGTTTTAGTTTGTCGCACTCCAAACTCTGATTTCTCCACGAAGCCACCTTCCTTGGAGGAGAGGAAAAAAGGGCTGGGGTGGGGGTGGGGCTGGGGGGGTGGGGGCGCAGCCGAGAAGAGGAAGAGAGAACAATGCAAGGAAAAAAGGAAAAAGAGGATCAGAAAGAGAAATTAGTCTTTCGAAGTGGCAGGGGAGGGAGGAGTGAGACGAACAGCAGGAGCAGAGTGGTGGCGGAGAAAATAAAAGAGGAAAGAAAGGCGAGACGTGGGAGGATTGGAGCAGAGACAAAAGGGCAGAGAGACAGACAGCGACAAGTGGAGAAAAGCGCCGAAACTTGAGCGGCAACGAAGTGTGAGCGCTGAAACCCCACGGCCTCTCCCGGCCAGTGCGCCCTCCCACCTGGTCCTATCCCCCAGCACCGTTCCAATTCGCTCGGTGTGGCGGCCTGGTCCCACCTCGCCGCCCACCGGCCCCGGCTCCGCGGGGACACCGGGTCCACTCTACGCTCGCCCGCCCGGTTCTGCCAAAATGTTCTTCAGCAGCGCCGTTTCAGCCACGTGGGGAGGGGCGTGGTCCAGTTGCTGAGGAGCGCCTCCGATTGGCTAGGGGGCGGGGTTCCTGGCGGCGCGCCGGCCGGACCACCCCCCTGAAGGCGGGGCCAGAAAATTCACAGCTGGAAAGGGTGGAGCCCCGGTAGCGCAGCTGGAAGGGGGCGGGGCCCGACGCGCGAGGCTCGCAGCGGCGGGCTGGGGGCGCCCTGGACTGCCATAAAGTGAATGGGCGCCAGCGGGGGGTGGCAGTCCGCGGCGAGGCTTACTCTCTCCCAGCGAGTCCGGGAGCGCCGGAGCGGAGCGGCGGCCCGGGCGCAGGGGGGCGGCCCCCACCCCGGCCGGGTGCCCGGCCTCTGGCCCCTGCTTGCCCTCCAGACTGCGGCCGCCGCCGCCGCTGCCGGGAGTCTGCCTGCTGCGGGACTCACTGTGAGTGCTTGACCATGCGGGGGACAGGGGCTCACGGGGCCGAGGGGCCATGGCCGGACTTCGGGATCCCTAAAACGGGACCTAGGGCTGCTGAACTGGAGAACGGTGCCTGGGGAACGGGTCGAGACAGGGAGGGCGGACTGCAGACCTGGGGCCAGGACTTAGAAAAAGGGAAACTTAGCGCCAGGACTCGGGGGACAGAGAAGGGGAAGACTCGAGGGATCCGAAGAGAAGTCGGAGACATGAGGTCAGGACAGGGGCTCCGCGAAGCAGGGAGTAGAGTCGGGAAACCATTACCAGAAAGCGCCCTGGAATCCGGGGGCGCGGGGCCGACAGCCAAGGAGCCAAAGGGGTTGGCGAGGCCCTGGCCAGTGGGGGCAGCTGGCGGCGGGCGCCCAGCAAGGCGGCAGTTGGCAGTGCCCAACACCCCTCGGCTGGGTCTCAGACTCCAGGGACCGGGAGCAGGGGTGCGTTAATCGCACAAGCTTCTCTTCCCAGCTGCTTTGCAGTTGGGATAGCAACCGTGTTGTGAGAACCGGACAGCGACCGGGTCAGATGGCCGCTGTGTGGGCTGCAAGGCCGAGGCTGGGTAGTCCGAGTGACCAGGCGGCGGGTCTGGTGTGTCTGCTTGGGGTGTCAGGGCCCCGATGGGTCCCGACCTGGGGCAGCCACGGAATTGGACGGAATGTCCGCGGCGCGCGGGGGTCAGGGCTGACAGAATGTCCGGCGCAGCGAGGTTGCTCTCTCCGGAGCAGGCGCTGTGTCGGGCAGTGGTGGACAGAATGTCCCTGGCCGAGTGGCATGTCCATTTACCCCGCAGCGCCTGCCCAGCTGCTTTGTGTACGGTGGTGTTTGCTGTGGTGGGTTGCCTAGAATCGCAGCTCACACTTTTCAAACTTGTCTCTGCTCTTAGGGGCTGCGGGACATGGAGCAGGGAGTGAGAGTAAAGGCTGAAGCCGGGCCTTGGGTTGGACTGGCCCGGGAGACATTCCCTCTCTAACCCAGACTAGATGCGATCTGAGCATCACCCCGGACCTCCAGAATCCAAATTTGTGGAGAGAGAGCCAATGGTGGGACTGCTAGTGGGAACCAAGACCAGGAAAGGAAGGAATGAACCACAAAGGGCAATGGGAGGGCAAAGAAGAGCCTAGCACAAGCCCCTGACAGCTTCAGTTCCCTCACAAACTCAGAGTCAACCCCTAATTCCAATACAGCTGACCAGGTACCCCCCAGACTCTGCCTGGGTGTCAGCAGGCTAAAGTCTCCTTTCCCACAGTGGGCAGGAGCCCAGGCCCAAAGAGAAAACTGCAGCCCTTTAGCAAAGCAAACCCTGTGGTCTTGTTTCCCTTTTTGCTTCCTCAGTCCCACCAATCCCCACACCACTCTGGTGGCTGAGAGGAGGTAGGAAGGAGACACAGAATCCAGACACTGGGATCCAACATGGGACTTTATTGCCCTCCATCTCTGGTTGGGAAGGATGTCTCAGCCCTACCCAACTACCCTGTTTGCTTTTCCTACAGCTGGGAGAGGGCCCTGATTTCTTTGGACCCGTACAATGACCACCCATCCTGACTCCAACTCTTTAACCAGAGCCCAGTTAAGCTGAAGGGAACAGAGTAGAGAGAACTCTCCCAGTCTATGTAAGTAAGCAAAACAGCCCATTTGGCAACTGGGTTTCATGGGGACAAGTGCAGGGTAATATGTTTAGCAATGAGTAATCTAAACAAGTGGGTTTCAACCTTTCTCACCCTCCAACCATGAATGACATATAATACGTCCTCCCCACACTCCCACCTCCACTCCTTACTTTTAAATTCACTTATCACCAGCTAGAACATTGTTTTCCAAACTCTTTTGTCCCTCTCCCCTTTTTGATAAATATAGAGTCATATCCCAGTTACCGTCATCACATTCTGATACCCTTTTCAAGGGGCTTGTGCTCCCATTGTCTTTGAAAACCACTGAAATTATGGGTGAAATGAAAGGCTGAGTCAGGAAAGGAATAGGGAAGGCATTACCTGAAGACCGTAGCCCTAAGTTCTACTTTTGCCAAAAAGGCCAAAAAGCAATGGCATTATAATAAAGATGACTAGAAACAAAAGGCAGACCTCCTGCCCCTGCATAAAGCCATTTAGCTGAGTGCATGCCTGGTCACTGGCTCTTAGGGAGAATGTCATGGACCTAGAGAAGGGTCAGAGAATGGTGGCAGAAGGGGGAGCCAGAGGCTGCTGAAGAGAGCAAACTTGAAGGTTTAGGCCTCTGGAAAGTGAGATAGGATGGAAATTCACAAAATAAGGAAAGGCCTAGATAAGCAGATTTGTTTGCTCCCCAAATCCTGAAACCAGAGATGAGGGGGCCTCTTAGAACTGGAATGATGCAAGCACAGGTTGAATAGGAAAATGTTCCTTGGCACACTGTGGGCAGCAAAGTTCCAGAGCTCTTTTCCAGAGAGGTGGTAGAGGCAGGAAGTAGAAAAGGAATCCTTAAGGGCTTGGAAGGATCGATGCATGTCAGAGCTACAAATGGTTGCTGGAGCGGAGGGGGCGAGGAGTGGAAAGAGCTCAGTCCCTGGTCTTAGGAGAACTGGATTAGAATCTCTTCAATCTGTGTAACCGTGGACAAATTTGTCTTCTTAGAGGTGAAATAGGGATGGTCATTCCTACCATTCAAAGTGGTTTTAAGAGTTAAACGAAATCATATATTTGAAAGCCCTTTGCAAATGGAGAAGCACCACAGAAATAAGAAACATTATTGCTATTATTATGCCCAAACTGTAGGTCCCCTGTAAGCACAGAATCTCCGTTTCGAAGGGTGGTGTCTCAAGCCTTAGATCAGCCTGCTAGCATCCGTGATCCAGTCATGGGAAGATTCTCAATGACAGATGAGACACCCTATCCTAGGCTTCAGATGCCAGCCACTATCCCTCCCCAAGAAGAGTTCCAGGGAGCTCCCCAAATGCTTAGATCCTCCACCAGACCAAATATCCTGATCTGATCCCTGCCTGCCTCCCGCTCAAGGATGTGAATATGGACCCAGAACCCAGGTCCAGGAAGGGAGGGTAGAGGAGGCAAGCTGGAGCTGAGCTGGGGATGAGCACAAGAGAAAGACACCACCCAAATCTTTTCTTCTCCATTTACTCTAAATGATGTTTCCTAGAGTGTGAGGGAGGGAGATGGCAGCTAACCTGAAGGGTCCACTAGGTCCTGAGCTTTGGGACTATCTAGAGTGTCTAGTCCCTAGTCACTGACAGGGACCCATGATAAGAGTGATAGGGACAGAAAAGAAAAGGCAGTGGGGTGAGAGAGCTGCTTTCAGAACTGTCTCCACTCCTCTTGCTTCCCTGGAGCCTTCTTTTCACCTCTCATAGTTTCCCCTTTCTTATCTCTCCCCTGCTCAATCCATTCTGCTCACCACTGCCAAATAAAGATCCCAAAGACACTGCTTTAATGTCACTCCCTCGCCTACAAGCCTCCAGTGACTCCCACTGCTGGGAGCAATGCTTCTCAGTGGGGGGTGAGGTGGGAGAGGGCAGTATAGGAGTGGGAGTGGCATGACACTGCAGGCTAAGCCAACCCCATCTTCCTGGTGTGGTGATGTCACTTGAAGATGTCTCTTGGAGAGAAAACATATTTTTTTATATTAAAACAAACATAAGTATGGAATGGAATGCAAAATTTGCTTTGATTTTTAATATAAGGCTGAAGATATCAAAGAAATTTCATACTGGCGGCCGCTGTTTCAGGTTGTGCCCCTAGTGTCCTGTACTATCTTCTCTCTTACTTAGTCTTAGGGTTGTTTTGGTGGAAAAGCTGGAGTTGCTCTAGCCTACACTGTATCAAGCCTGGACCCCCACCTCTTGCCCCTCATTGGACACCCTCTCAGCCTGACCATTTTTCTCTGATGATCTCCCATTGCCCACACTGATACCCTGGCCAAGCTAGGCTCCCTGCTACCCTCTGAACCTACTGCTCTGTTATTTAGAAGCCTCTGCCCCCTTCTCTGCCTCCCTAATTTCCAGATCAGCCAGGTGCTACGTTCTCTGAGCCCCAAAACTTGATACCACCTTACATGCGCTACCGTCTTTCTGATCTTCCACGATCTGAGAATCAGGCCCATGCAGACCACCATTCCATCCTGTGCTCTGTTTGCCTCCCTAGACTGTAGGCTCCTAGAAGTTAGGGTCTGCGCCTTACCATTCTTGGGTATCTGTCTTAGCACCTAATGCTTGTTGAAGGAAAGAAGAAGGGAAGGGGGGAAAGGGTGTGGAGGCCCATTTCTCTGATCCCTGATTTACCCCTTGATAAATTAAGTGCATCAAATCATTGTTGCCTCTACCCGAGTCTTAGGGTTTCCCCTTGGCTGTGAGCTGTGAGCCTTGTCTACAGCTGTCTTCATTTGCCCTCATTTGCTGACTGCAGCTCAGCAGACCAGACAGTGTGGGTGCTCGGCATCCCTAATGAACATGAGGCTGTGTGCACTTAAGGGCCTCACTTTAGTTTTAGGTTTATAGGATGGTCCCGTCCTAGTTTAGGGCCCTGGTTTACACCTGTTCGCCAACTTGCTGCTTGCTGAGCTGAGCCACAGCATCACAACTCCATCCCCTCTTATCTTCTTTCTCATTCAGCCCATGCAAGAAAAGGTTTTCTCCCATTTCAGTTCCAGGGTGTGCCTCCTGCCTTGGGTATTATTATTGCAACTACTTGGGGGCTCTTTGGCTGTGGCTCTGGTCTGCCCCTTTGGCTTCAGGACAAAAGTGGGTGCACATGGCAGTTGCCTTCTTGCCATGAGTTGTGTCCCTTGGAAACCATGGCCTCCCCACTACGGCCTCACTGGTCTGTGACAGTCTCTGATCTCCTCCTTAATTATCTTGGATATTTTGTTCTTGCTGCAGTCCATGACAGCTTCCTGTAATTCCATGCTGTACCTCAGACTCAGAGGTCACCTGCAGGCCCTCTATTCTCCCTAGGGCTGGGATTGCCACCCTGACACCAGTGGGGCCTGGGCCATGCACCCCCTGCAGGGTGTGTTGGAAAGGCTGGGGTGGGGCAGGAGGCCCCCCCAAGAGCTGGACTCAGCACCACTGTTATCTCTTGACTCTCTTTGGCCCTTCCTGGTATTTCCTACCAGCATCAACCAAACCTGTGGCTTCCAGACCTACTGCCTGTCCCTGTCCACTGAGTGAGGCGAAGTCCCTGGCCGCAGTCCCAACTCCCCAGCTTCCTGACCTCCAGCAGTTTGGGGGAGCTTAATCCTCAGCCAGCCTGTCTCCAGCTCAGACAACAGCTTGGCGCCCCCAGCCTCTGCCTGACTAGCCCACCAGACACGAGTCTGCTCGAGGCCTCTGCCCCCACCCGCTCTCTCTGTTGCCTGCCTGGTATTAGTATTCCTGCTTTTTCAGCTCCACAGGCAGGGCCCTTCTCAGCCACACCCCCTCTTTCTGCTATGACTAACCCAGCCAAGAGCCTGAAGGCTTTATTCTTTCCTCTACCACCAGTCACTGGTGCCCAAAGTGGCTCCCAGCTTGGGCTACTCTGCCCATTTGGCTGTTTCCTTATTGACTGGACCCTCCTTTATGTTTAGGACAGAGAGCTCGCAACACACACTTGCATCCCTCTCTAAAATGCAGCATGCTTCCCTTTATTCAGAGCAACTTTTCACTGGGAGACACAGGATCTAGGGAGGTGAACCGCTCAAGCAATGGCAGAGACAAGAATGAGATCTTATTTACCACTCTATCCTGAGTGCCTTACTCAACGCCCAGCTCACAGAAGGTGCCAAACAAACATCATTTCAATGAATGAGGGGGAAAACAACAACAAGAACAACAACAACTTGGATAGAGTTTGACCCCTACCCATTTTTTAAAATAACTTTATTTAGTTAGTTAGTTATGGCTGTGTTGGGTCTTCGTTGCAGTGCGCGGGCTTCTCATTGCGGTGGCTTGTCTTGTTGCGGAGCACAGGCTCTAGGCGCACAGGCTTCAGTAGTTGTGGCACGTGGCCTCAGTAGTTGTGGCTCACGGGCTTAGTTGCCCCCTGGCACGTGGGATCTTCCCGGACCAGGGCTCGAACCCGTGTCCCCTGCATTGGCAGGTGGATACTTAACCACTGCACCACCAGGGAAGCCCCCTACCCATTTTTAAATGTTATGTTTTATTTTAACCTTGTAACAATACTGAAGGTAGATAGGGAAGGGATTATAATCTCACTTTTACAGATGAAAATATATGCCTAGATAGGTAATTTGCCAAGGACACACAGCTAGTAAGTTGGGGAGCCAGGACGTGAACCCAGATCTTTTGACTCCAATCCTAGTTTCTTTGGGGTATACCAGATTACTTTCCCAGGAGGGGCCTCGTCAGTTTCTGTGCCCCAGTGCTACCCCATCCTCTTTTTTCCAGCATTCTCATACCTTCTCCCCACTCAGCCAAACAGGCTCTCTCCAGCAGCCGCTGAGTATAGACCACTCCCTCCCGTGGCTCCTTTGACTTCCTCCTCCCCCACAGAGTCCTTAGTTCCTGGGACTGAGAGCTGAGGTTCAAAGGGGCCAGGAAGGGGAAGGGGGAGGATAATGGCTAGCTCCAAAACAGCCGAGGCAGCTGTCCCTGTCACAGAGAGAGGAGACTGTGTGACGGTGTGTCTGTCTGCCTGAATGTGGGAGCGCATGTGGGAGAGTGTGTGTTTGTAGGCCTCTAGCTCCAAGTCCTAGTGCTTATTTTGTCTGAGTTGGGGCCCGTGTGTGTCTGCATGTGTGTCTGTCTGTCTCTGGGAACACACAGCCTGAACTCTGCTTTCTCAGCATTGTCTTTTATTCTGGCCCTTATCTCTCCTCACCCTGCCTCCCTCTGCTGAAATAAAGGGTGAAACCAAGACACAGGTATGGAATGCTTGTGGAACGGGAGTTTGGAAAGTGGGAAGTCTGGAGGCAAAGCAGACTGGAAGGATGAACGGCAATGGTGGGATTCAGCTTTTCCTACAGGGAAACCCAACTGTCCCTATTTTCCCAGCTCTGCCTTGCTCCCGTGGGCCTCTGGAGAGGTCAGAGGCATGGTTTGCAATTTTGAGGGCATCTTAGGTATGAAGAGACTTCAGAGCACCCCTTTTTCCAGCTCTCAGTTCTAAGCCTCCCCAGCTACTTGAGAAGAGCTACTAGTCAAGGCTGCTCCAGGTCCTTCCCAATGGCCTCTCCCTTCTATTGGAGCATCATTGGGCCAGCCCTAAGCCTCTGGCTCCAGTCCTCAGATCTGGAAGGGGAGGGAAGCAGAGCAGCCCCACCCCTGGCCTGACTTCTCTCCTTCCTTCCCGGGGTTCCATTCAGCCCTGCTTCTCCAACCCTAGGAGAGGGTCCAAGGTCTAGTCCTCTCTGCCTGTGGAAAGAACAGGGACTGTTTCTCAACCTCCTGCCTTGACCTCTGACCCATCCCCAATCTAGCTTGAGAGGTGGAGAGGTGGGGGGACAGCTGTCATCTCTGAGCTGGTTGAAGGGGGCATTACCATGTGCAAATACAGGCCGCTGCCCATCTGCGCCTCCCTGAGAAAGGCTCCTAATAAATTCAGAGCAGCCAAGTGACACACGTCTCAATCTAGGCTAATCCTCCACATTAATGCCACCTTGCACAGCCTGCATTAAGTCCCTGTTAATGGGGAGGCAGATGGACCCCTCCTACCCAGCTTTTCATCCCTGTTTCTCTGTCCCCAGCCTCCTTTGGTTCTCCTCTGACCAAGAGGCATCTGGAGTCTTGAGCCCCACTAGTGCCCTTTTCCCTTCCCCCCACCAGAGGGGGCCTGGGAGAGCCAGAAGGAAAGGGGACCCTGCAGGGGAGACTTGGAGGGGGACCCAGGCAGGCTCCTGGGCAATGTCAGGTAATGTTTGGCATAGGGAGTAAGGGTAGGAAGGGGGTTTTAAGAAGCCCACATCCACAGCCTGGGGTGGGCCAGTAAGAAGCCATGCGTGACAGTGGTGACTGGTAGGGTGCAGTGTGTGTCTGGGCAGGTATAGAAGCAGAGAGTGATTTTCAAACTTGTTTTTGATCCTGGAAGACTTTCTTCAAATGAAATCTCTCCAGAAAGCATAAACAAAACAGACAAAAGCAGGGCTGCCCTAGTTGAAGTAGACCTGAGTAAGATCAGGCTAGATCTCCATCCCTGAGGTTAGCCCTAAGTTCCAGTCCCTGAGGGGGTTTGTGAGGAGGGCCCCAAAGAACACAGTCTGAAAACGCAAACAAAGAAAAGCAGTTTAGGCATCTCCCAGACCTGGTTCAGATCCCAGCTCCACTGCTTACAAGCTCTTTAACCTTAATTATTACTTCAAGTCTCAGTTTCCTCACTTGAAAAAGGGTGATCATACCTAATATTGATGCATTCTTGTGAGGGGAGAGATAATGAGGTGAAGACACATAGTAAGTACTCATAAATGATAGCAGTGATTCTCCTTATGGGAGACATATCAGGCCTGGTTCAAAATCAAATCTGTCCCACTGGAGAGTGAATAACACAGATTCAGACTGCGTCTCAGGTGTGACTGGCTGAGAGGCATGTTTGAGTTTAAGGGGATATTGGGCACTCGTATGAGAGGGAATTTAATTTTTAAGTATGTGGTGTATGGTATGCGGTGTGCAACAGTGTGGTTTTCATTAATTCAATAAATATCTGTTGAACACCAACAGTGTACCAGGCAGGGTTCTAGGTGCCCAACACTGAAGAAATCAAAGTCTAGTGTGTATAAAATCTCTTGAGTATACACCTCTCCCCCCCTTAGGCTGCTGTTTCCCCATTCTATCCTAGGGCACTCTACACAGGGGTAGCTTTATGTCGGTGGCAGAGAACTAGTGGGGAAACACTGCTGGGAACCGGATAACCCGGAGATTTTCTTCCCATTAACCAGGTCTGTGTCTTCGCTTCCCTCCAGAGTCCTCCCCCCATGGAGTTCGGCCTGCTCAGCGAGGCAGAGGCCCGGAGCCCCGCCCTCTCGCTGTCAGATGCGGGCACCCCCCACCCCCCAATCCCGGAACACGGCTGCAAGGGCCAAGAGCACAGCGGTGAGCGCGCCACCTTCTGGGGGTGGGGGAAATAACAGCTCCATCCCTAACGAGGGTGGGACCCGGGAGTGCAAGCCCAGGTGGGAGTGAGGGGCCCCGCCGAGGAAGTCCCCGAGCCCAGGAATCCGCACAGGCAAGAACGCGCTGTGACCGACCCCACCCCGGCCCCCAGACTCGGAGAAGGCCTCGGTTTCGCTGCCCGGTGGCTCCCCCGAAGATAGCTCGCTTAAGAAGAAGCAGAGGCGGCAGCGCACGCACTTCACCAGCCAGCAGCTGCAGGAGCTGGAGGCGACCTTCCAGAGGAACCGCTACCCCGACATGAGTACGCGGGAAGAGATCGCCGTGTGGACCAACCTCACCGAGGCCCGCGTGCGGGTACGCCGCCCCCCACCTCCAGAGCCGCCACCCTCACTCCATCCCGGGCCTCCCTCCCGCGGGCCGCTCAGCAAGTAGCTTCGGAACCAGCATCCTGTAGTTCTGCCCTGCCTGCCCCATCCTCGGACCCAACACCCGACGTCCCCCGGCCCCGGACCCTGCCCGCACGGCCTTCTTTCCACCAGCCTCCAATCTCTGCTCTTCTTGCACCCTCTCACTCCAGACGGCGCGTTCCCTCTCCCCTGGCACTGTCTCTGGTTCTCCTCTTCACCTCTCCTAGACCCGATCCTGCTGCCCACCCCTGCAGCCCTGTCGCCCCCGACTCAGTTCTGCGGCAGACTGCTTCTTTCTCAGCCCGCTGACTCCGTGAGCTCTTCCCTCACCCCGACCGGCTGCTCCACCACCCCATTCCCGTTTCTGGGGTGGTTATGCTCCACCACCTCCTCTCGCTTATGCTCCGCCCGGCCCCCGGCCCCCGCTTGGTCCCCTGCCTGGGCGACCCACCCACCAGCCAACTGCGAGGGCCGGGCCCTGACAGCCTTTCTCCCACGCCCACAGGTGTGGTTCAAGAACCGGCGCGCCAAGTGGCGAAAGCGCGAGCGCAGCCAGCAGGCGGAGCTGTGTAAGGGCGGCTTCGCGGCGCCGCTCGGGGGGCTGGTGCCGCCCTACGAGGAGGTGTACCCCGGCTACTCGTACGGCAATTGGCCACCCAAGGCGCTGGGCCCGCCGCTCGCCGCCAAGACCTTCCCGTTCGCCTTCAACTCGGTCAACGTGGGGCCTCTGGCTTCACAGCCCGTCTTCTCGCCACCCAGCTCCATCGCCGCCTCCATGGTCCCCTCGGCCGCGACTGCCCCGGGCACTGTGCCAGGGCCCGGGGCCCTGCAGGGCCTAGGTGGGGGGCCCCCCGGGCTGGCTCCGGCCGCAGTGTCCTCCGGGGCAGTATCCTGCCCTTACGCCTCGGCCGCAGCAGCCGCAGCAGCAGCCGCCTCCTCCCCCTACGTATATCGGGACCCGTGTAACTCGAGTCTGGCCAGCCTGAGGCTCAAGGCCAAACAGCACGCCACTTTCAGCTACCCCGCCGTGCCCGGGCCGCCCCCGGCCGCCAACCTCAGTCCGTGCCAGTACGCAGTGGAACGGCCTGTGTGAATGGCCCCGCTCGTCGATCATCCCTGAGGGCGGGGGCGATAATTTACGGCCTCTACGGACTGGGGTCGTCTTGCCCGGCTTGCCCCCGCCCCGGGGTCTGAGAGGGGTGCTGGGGCAGTCGGGCTTGGGGAGGCGGCCGGCTCAGGAGAGAGTCTTCCCCCTCCCAGGCCTGAGGGGTGGACTGGGCCCTTAGTCCGCGCCCCTGGAACTGAGGCCAGGAACAGGGACCAGTTCCCCGGGGGGCCAACTCACCCTTGGTCCACCCCGCCTTCTCCAGACTCCCCTTCCCCGGTTTTCAAAGATAAATAAACGTGCGCGGACTGTCAAAGGCCTGATGATTCAGAGTTGCGGTTGAGTCTTCTCCCCTTATCCTTCCCCATGTCTAAAGGAGAGCTGGGTGTACAGGAAACAGATAGGGGTCCAGGCTTCCAGGGCTTCAGTCCTCCCCAGGCCACCATCACCAAGACGGGGAAGCCTGGGGATTCCTGGAGCTGAGCGGCGCACGCATGAGTGCGTGCGTGTGTAGGTGTGTATGGCTTGGACAAAGCTGGTACTGCAGCGCCACCTCGTGGTCTTATGGAGGATAACTGGAAGGTCTGATCTCGAATGCTTACTTAAAGATGTCAATTCTGCAGCTTAGGAAGCCTATGACTTTAGAAAAAGTTACTCCACCTTTCTGCATCTGTTTCTCACTGTTCCTATGAGGGGCTTGGGCCTCTAACAGCAATAAACTTCTGGTCTGTAACAGACATTTATTAAGTGCCTACCAGGCCTAGTATTCTTATTGAGTGTCTGTGTGTGACTCTCATCCTTCCACACACCACACCCTCTTAAGCTTCTCACCCACTGCCAGCAGCCCTCCTCCATCACAGCAGTCCCCTTCGTCCTCCAAATCCCCAAACCCCAAAAACCTTTAATTTTAAATCTTTAATTTTAAAAATAGAGCAAGAAGAAGAAAGATTTCTGGAAATATAGATCACTCAGCTCTGGGGAGCCTCCTCAGTCCCACTCCATCCCAGGGACTGTTTGGCCTTCACATTAAAAACAGAAACAGGGCTTCCCTGGTGGCACAGTGGTTGAGAGTCCGCCTGCCGATGCAGAGGACACGGGTTCGTGCCCCGGTCCGGGAAGATCCCACATGCCGCTGAGCGGCTGGGCCCGTGAACCATGGCCTCTGAGCCTGCACATCTGGAGCCTGTGCTCCGCAACGGGAGAGGCCACAACAGTGAGAGGCCCGCGTACAGCAAAAGAAAAAAAAAAAAAAACAGAAACAGCAAAGTACTAGATCACACCCCCACCCCAGAGGTGACACTTCTTGACTGTCATAACCTCCTGCCACCTTGGGGTACACATCCCATGGGGAAACCATGCAGAAAAGGCATCCTAATTATTTTCCCAAACCTAAGCTCAGCCCCTCAATGCCCTGGGGAGGAGAGAGCTCGGGGCTCCTTCTTTTCTCCAACCCTTCACTGGCTCTTGGTCTTGGCCTTGACCTTGGTAATTACATAGTTTTGGTGGAAGAACTGGACAAAGAGGAGGAAATAGGTTGTATACAAGATGAAGGACCAGAAGAGGTGTTCCTTTGTTGTATGGCATCCCTGTTCCTGTCTCCAGATGTAAGTCAGGATACCCATAAACATCTCCCATAAACATCTGCAGGATTTGCAGGCTGGTGATGAGCATGGGAAACCTCCTGGGGGGCTTTACTTTGGCAGCCTTCAGAGTATAGTAGGTGTACATGATGGCATGTACACCGTAGTTCATGGTCATGAACCAGCCGCCTGCGGCCACCTTGTTCTTGTATCCAAAGCTCTTGTACACTAGCTCTGTGCTGTGGCGGTACCAGTGCACAAAGATGAGTGGCCGCTTATACAGGATGATGAAGGCCGTGTCTCCTGGGAGATGGGGAGTCATAGCTGGCATACCACCCAGTGTTGGGACCACGCTCCGCATTGGACATGGGGGCATATGGGGAATTGTCAGGGCAGGGAGAGGGGTCTTTGTGGCAGAGAATCTAAGGAGGGGCTTGGGTGAGAGGTGTTGTTAGGACCCAGGGGTGGGGAAGGGACTTTCCATGTGATGGGTAAGGGGGGGGCCCTGAGGAGGGGTGCAGTTGACTGGACACCAGAGAGACAAAGCCTTGCCACTCACCAAGTTCAATGATCTTGCTGAGAACAGAGAGGCAGGATCAGAATTTGATTCTGGGATTATCGGTGAAGATGAAGAAGCATACAGTTTTCTTTAGGCCCCCCCTAAGTAGCACGGTCCCCATATAGCCCCATGTCCTCACTGCCCCAAGGATACTGAAATGGGACAGAGGAAAAGGGTATAAGGGTCATTCCCAGGCATCAATCCACGCTTCACCTGGTCAACTTCCACCACCTCTCCACCCTCCATAGGGGATGGGTCACAGCTTCTGAGATCCTGTGGCCAACCTGGTAGAGCCAACCAGTAATCTAGAAGACATGAAGGCTAGGGAAGGACCAGAGAGTGCTGGAGGTTGGGACTGAAAGTTGAATTAGGGAATAGGGCTCATGGGATGGGAGGAGATGGGTGGCAGGATGGGGGGTGATTGAAGGAGTTTGGGGGGGCGGAATATGGGAAGAAGGGGCTGGGGAAGTTATTGGGAGGTCTTGGGAGAGGGTATTAGATGCAGAGAGTATTAGAGGCTGGGGAAAATGTTGGAAGTATCAAGACTCCATGAGCACAAGAGAACTTGTGAGAGAGCAGAGACGGCCAGTTCCGGGACTGGAGAAGGAAAACAGGGGAATATGGGAGGAGGGTGGAACCTGAGGAGAGAGTTAGAGCTGAGAGAATGGGATAGGGAGAGAGTTAGGGGGCAACTTGGGGAGTTGATACAATTGAGGTTTCTAGAAAGTTTTTAGGGATAGAATGTGGGTCTAGGGTCTATAAGATGGGTTGTGGAGGGGGGGGTCTTACCTGAAGATTGCAAGGCAGAATGACCAAAGGATGAGAGGTCCCTGCAGGTTGAAGCCCTTCCGTGCCTTCATGTAGCTCTGCCCCACAAAGATGAGCAGCAGGTAGATCAGAGCTATGGTGAATGAGGTTGCCCTTGCAGGCAGAAGGGAGAGGGGATGGGCTTATGGGTAGGTGCTGGTTAGAGGAATGCCCACTCATATCTTCAGGTGAGTGTTCTGGGTTGGAGTCCTACTTCTGCCATTTACTAGCTGTGTGACATTGGAAAAACTACTTAGTTTTCTGAGCATTAGATTCCCCTTATTTTGTAAGAGGGGAATACCACTCCTCTCCTGAGTGTTAATATATATAAAGTACCTAGCACAGGGCAGGGGCTATGTCCAAGGTTTCTGTGATTACTGCTCTCTCAATGGGGTTGGGAGTGGGTGACAGCTGCTGACCCATGCCTAGAAGCAACCCAGGACTGTGGTGTAAGAAGAATGTGGCAACAGCTTCTGCCTGGTTGGGTCATGGCAAATTGGAGCACAAAGTCAACCCACAAACACCTCTGAGGAGCTCTTGGGCAAAGCCCGAGGAAATTTTGAAAGAGTATCTAGATTTTGTCTCCTTCTCCACAGCAGGGATGATGGAGCATTTGAGGAACAAGATGATAACTGTGAAGGGAAGGCTGTCCCCGGGTGCCAGCACTATGCATGCATGCGCACACATGCGGCCACAAAGGATGGAGAGTCATCTATAAGGTGGGTCCGAGTAGGAGTTCAGATCAACTCCATTCTTCAGAGACCAGTTCTCACAACGCTCTTTCCTCTTGGTTTCTGTCTCCCCCCACATTCCTCACCCCATCCTCTTATTTCTGCCTTCCTTTCTTCCAGACCTAACCTCTCTGAGGTGCCACACTACCTGCGCCTTGGACAACGGGTACGTGAAGCCAGTACTGGGGAGCCCGATACCTTTGCTCTTTAGCAAAATCACTGTGGGTATTCTGTGTATCGCCCTCCCACTCTTCCACCAATCCCCCCAAATAGCAGTCATCAGAGTTGGGCCCCTGACACGGCTCTTCCCCTTCTCCAGGTCTCACCAGTACTCCTCCAAAACGGGCCTTATGTCCTGGAACAGCTCGACGTTGTAGGGCTGGAACATCTGCTCTACTTCATCTGAAACATTCACGGCTGTGACCATTTCGTTCTGCAGATGCTGAGGTCGGGAGCTTAGGGAGCTGGACGAGAGTTAGGGGACCGAGGATGGAGCGAACCTTGGGGCAGGACTGACTAGACCCAGAACCCAAGGAACTAGGCGGCAAGCCGAAGAG